CACACTCAAAAGCAGGCTCCAGGTTCTGAGCTGTCAGCACAGGGCCCCACGCGGGGCTTGAACTCATGAACCACGAGATCATGACCTAGGCTGAAGTCGGACGCTTAACAGACTGAGCCACCCAGGCGCCCCAAGGCTCCTAGGTTTTAATGGAAGGATCGTGCTGACACCACTGGTCTGTCTGAACATCGCTAAAAGGGAACATTCCTGAGGCAAGGCGATAGGAAGTACACAGAACCACCTGTGGCTTTTGTCCGGGCAAGAAAAAAACCCGAATCCATACAAGCCTCTAACTGTCCTGCTTTAGTGGAAATACGGGGAAAAGTAGAACAGGGTAATCAACTCTGATAGGATGCAGCCAGCCCGAAGCGGATGTGTGACCAATCCAGAGGGACAGCTGACCTCATGTCTTCAGTAAGGGGCCATGACGAAAGGGGGGAGTGAACGAACAGCTGGTACGATACCCCCCAAAGCTCACCTATTCCCAAAAGCTGTTTTCCTGTGTTAGACACCAGGCTGCTGTCAGGTTTTCGTATACATACGACACTGTTAGACTTTTCCCTATTCCCTGTTAGTATTCGACCCTTCCCGTTTTATCGTTTAACTTCCCACAGGCGTGAATTCAGACAAAAATTACCAAAAGTTGGCATGAGAATACTGTTAAACTAGGTGTTCTCGCTAACTTTTAAACTAATAACTTCTTTGGGGCGCCTGGGTGGCGCAGTCGGTTAAGCGTCCGACTTCAGCCAGGTCACGATCTCACGGTCTGTGAGTTCGAGCCCCGCGTCGGGCTCTGGGCTGATGGCTCAGAGCCTGGAGCCTGTTTCCAATTCTGTGTCTCCCTCTCTCTCTGCCCCTCCCCCGTTCATGCTCTGTCTCTCTCTGTCCCAAAAATAAATAAACGTTGGAAAAAAAAAATTTAAACTAATAACTTCTTTAAGTTACTTTCTGATGAATAATAATTTTTGTCAATGACACTGGCGTCCCTCCCCACCCCGTCTTCTCTTACACGGCAAGGTCTGCGTTAGCAAACACACTGTGGCCCTGTCGCCTGGGCCCTTCCCTCACTGGGAAGGAAGCACGTGGGGCCAGTGTTCCCAGACCCCGGAATTACTCGCTTCTGCCCAAAGAGGCCCAGTAAACATTTGTTGGTTATGGAAACCCATCCTGGATCTCACGATGTGTGTGTCGTTGTTAGAACACATTGCCTTTCTTTAATGAAAACCCAAATGCCTGTTAATATGAAACCAGTCTTGGGGCGCCTGCGTGGCTCAGTCAGTGGAGCGGTCGACTTCGGCTCAGGTCATGATCTCACAGTCCATGAGTTCGAGCCCCGCGTCGGGCTCCGTGCTGACAGCTCAGAGCCTGGAGCCTGTTTCAGACTCTGTGTCTCCCTCTCTCTCTGCCCCTCCCCTGTTCATGCTCTGTCTGTCTCTGTCTCAAAAATAAATAAAAACGTTAAAAAAAATTAAAAAAAATATATATATGCGAAACCAGTCTCGGTCACGAGCGCTTACTTTCAACATCCAGAGGAAGTGTCGCACCTTCATGGACGGCTCGTGGGGAGGAGCCGCGTGCGGTCTGCAGTAAACCGTGTAAATCTCCCAGCTCTTGTTGATGTGGCTGATGGAATAGAGCGTCCGCTGTTGCCCACTGAATAAATTGCCTAAAAACATAATGCAACGATAAACTGTCAAAAAAGGATTACAAAGCTACATTTTGGAAAAAGAAGCGACAGTCAATATAATGCTGCTGGTTTTGTATTTACCTTTTACGCGGCCGGCATTTGGGTGAATGTTCTCAGTCATCAGTTTGGTAAAACACAGAAAGAGTGATGGGCTTCTGTTTCTGACGAGAAAGATCTAGTCACCTCTCTGTCCAGCAGGTAGAACCTAATTCCTCTCTCCCTGAGTGTGGGGTGGATTTAGTCATTTGCTTCGAACCACGAAGGTACAGAAGGGGAGACACAGTAGGTTTATGGTAGAGCGTCGTGCCTCCCGCCACCTTCACTGAGTGATCGGGACTAACGTCACCAGTACCAAGACAGATCAACACCACATCCCCCTGATGTGATGGGCTGCCAAGGGCATTTCACCTCCGCGCCATTCTTGCCCCAAACCCAAGCCTCAGTGCAATGATGAAAAATGTATCAGCAGACCAAAATCAAGGGACATTTTACAAGATAACTGACCAAGAGTTTTCCAAAGCGTCAAGGCCATAAAAGACAAAGTCTGAGAAATTATCACAGGTTGTAGGGACTAAGGAGATAGGAGACAACTAAACGCAAAGAACGTGGATCAGAAAAGGGACATTATTGGGAAAACCCAGGAAACCCTAATAGTGTCCATGACTTAGTTAATGGTATTATACCAACGTTAATTTCTTAACTTCCACAGGTGCATCATGGTCGTGTACAATGTCATTGTTAAGGGGAGCTGAGTGCAGGGTGTGTAGGAACTCAAGTACTAACATGGCAACACTCCTGGAAAACTTATTTCCAAATAAAAAAAGACAGGGGATCAATTTTCTCTGACAGGGGATGAATCAATTTATTATTCCCCATCTGAGAAGATGGGGAAATTCGGGCCTGAGGAAGGACTAGTGTTGAATATTTCCGATCAAAACCCTGAGAGCAAGTTCAACATTGAAACACGACTCACCTCGGAAGGGGCTTCAGAAGTGTAATCTGGCATCCGATGGTTTTGTGGTTAATATTTGTGAAACGCTCTTGTTTCTGGCCCTTCCCTTTGGGAGTATGTAAAAGTAGTCACGCACGTCAAAGAAAAGTGGGCACCACTGTAGCTCAGGACTGATTAGGTCTGCCTGCCCTCTCCGAGCTTCAGAAGTGGTACTTACTGGAATTCTTTGTGATGGATGTGGTAAGCCAATTGCAGGAGGTAATTCAGAAATGTTCTCAAAAGTATTGTTGTAAATGGAGAATGAATTTCTTCAACCGGAATGTCATTATTGGCTACAATAAAGGAAATTGGAAAGGATGCCTAGTACTTTGTTTTTAATCGAGGTAGAACTGACGTATAACGTTGCATTAGTTTCCCGTGCACGACGCCATTCACTAGGTGCTGCAACATGACCGCCACAGTAAGACTGGTTGACACCCTTTGCCTACGTAGTTACAAAAATTTCTCCTTTATTCTGGCAGTGAGGACTTTTAAGATTGACCTTCTTAGCAACTTTTAAATAACCGTTATTTTTAACTATAGTCACCATGCCGCACGTTGCATCCCCATGACTTACTTATTTTGTAGCTGGAAGTTTATACCTTTTGACCCCCTTCACCCATCTCTTTGATCCCTCCCCTCTGGCAACCACTACTCTGTTCTCTGTATCTGTGAGCTTGTTTCTTTGTTCTGTAATTTTTATTTAATTATTTTTAATATTTCATTATTTACTTTGAGAGAGCTTCAAGTGGAAGAGGAGCAGAGAGAGAGAGAGAGGGAGAGGGAGAATCCCAAGCCAGATCTGAGCTGTCTGCACAGAGCCCCACGAGGAACTCAGTCCCACGAACCATGAGGTCATGACCTGACCCGGAATCAAGAGGTGGATGCTTAAACCACTGGGCCACCCAGGTGCCCCTTCTTTGTTTATTTAGATTTGACATACAAGCGAGATCCTATGCTATTTGTCTCTGTCTTATTTCACTTAGCATAACACCCTCAAGGTCCATCTGCGTTGGTTGCAAATGTCAAGACTGCATTCTTGACGCCTCGTATTTTCTAAAACCTTCTATTTTATTTGCTCCTGGTATACAAGTCAAAGAAGTGAGTGTGACAGAGTACCTTTTCTCGTAGTGAATACTATGAACAGCGTAAACGCACCCACCTAAAACTTAAGTACCGCACGAAAGACCTAGTCACTTATCAGGAAAGTTGCAAGAGACTTTGTCCCAGTGTCTTTCGGAGTTCGGCGTGGTCTGAGCCACGTTTGATTCTAATGGCGACTCTGACTCTAAATGGACTCAAAATCTGTGTCCGACACTTACGTTTCAAGTAAGTAAGTATCAGTCCTGACATTTTGTTTTCCCAGTAGATAATTTGAGGTTGACAAGGCCTGCTTCCCAGAATCCGGCTGAAAGGAATAGAACCTTCAAAGTTGTTAAATCTATTGCCATGAACTTTCTAATTTGAAATCAAGCCCAAGCCCACCTCAAGTGTTTTCTCGGCTACTGGCCCTCCCTAATCCTCTCTGCTTCGGACCTCACAATTTACTGGGTTGTTTTAAACTATAGATCAGAGGCAGGCAAACTTTTCTGCCAAGAGACACACAGTAAATATCTTTAGGCTTTGTGGGCCACAACCCCTCAGTTCTGACATGACAGGACAAAAACAGCCACAGACAATGCATGAGGAAATGGACATGGCTGTGTTCCAATAAAACTTTATTTATAAGAACAGGCAGGGGGCTGACCTTGGCTCACAGGCCCTGATGTAGATGGTCTTTTACTGTTGCCATTATTTCACGAGAGTGTCTCAGGTACATTTTAAGCACCTTGAGAAGACGGTATGTTGATTTCTGGAACGTCTCTCCCGGGATTTGCCTTCGTCACTCCCTCCACATTTCCTGACTGGTTTCATGGAGACATGTCACGCCAATCTTTAACCCAAAAGACCTGAAGGACCGGGACACTCACCGCTTAATATCCTGTCCATATCAGCAAGAGTTATATTATGGTGATGAAATTTGCAATCTTTTAGAAACCTCCAGAAGTGAAGCTTTGTCATCAGAAAGGTGTTATCCAGAGAGCGATCACATCCTAGGCTGCTGTAGAAGCTATAGATTCTTCTTAATTCTGTAATATTTCTTAAGACAGCATATTCCACCTACAAAGAGAAAGCCATGCACGTCTTAATCTTACCTAATAAGAACAAAAGAGAGACAACACCTGCTTTATAAATTAAATGAGATAATACAAGTGAAGTAATAGCATTTACCGTTGACCACTATAAGGGCTCAGCAAATGTTGTATTTTCCCTGCTCATCCCCAGGTCAATAAAATGCAATTTCTGTATAACATTAAAAAATGTGCTGTTATCAGGAGAGACCGGGTGGCTCAGTCAGTTAAGCATCCAAGTCTTGGTTTTGGCTCAGGTCATGATCTTGTGGCTTTGGGTTCAAGCCCCATTGGCAATCTACGCTGGGCGGGGAGTCTAAGATTCTCTCCCTCCCTCTCCCTCCAACCCCTCTCCCCCGCTCACACTCTCTAAAAATAAAAAAAAACAAAAAAACTATAAGAAAACACTTTTGGAGGCATTTCTAAGAACTGAGTTACAGAATTTTTTCACTTTCTAGATCTGATACTTCTTTTGTAATTATGAGGTAAGATAGACTTTAAATCCATATTTTTTTCACTTAGTGTTTACTTATTTTTGAGAGAGAGACAGAGACAGAGTATGAGCAAGGGAGGGGCAGAGAGAGAGAGGGAGATACAGAATCCAAAGCAGGCTCCAGGCTCTGAGCTGTCAGCACAGAGCCCGATGTGGGGCTTGAACTCACAGATTGTGAGATCATGACCTGAGTCGAAGTCGGGAGCTTAAGTGACTAAGCCACCCAGGCAACCCCAAATCTGTACTTTTTAAAAGACCTACCTGTGTTGACATGGAAAGAACTCCAAAGTGGAAAGTGAATGATATGTACATAAAACAAAAAAAAAAAAAAAAGAAAATCTCTCCTTTTTGGGTGTATCAATGGATGTTTATTCATCTAAAAATGATATTGTAGGAGAACACTGAATGGCTATTATTAAATACACATGAGCAGACATTATAGGAGCAGAATTCTCCCAATTCTAGTTACGTTTGCTCAGAACAAAACTGGAAAGGTGGTCACCACATTTGTCTGGGTGAAGATTCTGTTTTACCTTTTCTTATCTGCATTTTCTAAATTTTCTACAGGTGTGGTGTACCATTTTTGTAACTCGAGAAAGTCACAGAAGTTCTTGTTTTTAATGACAGTCTGACAGCAGATGAAGCGAGTAATACCAGGAGACCGAATTACGACGCTGGCCGGGAGAAGAAAGGAGGATGGGAGTGGACAGTCACCACTTTGAGACCCACAGAACCGGGACCAGAGGAGGCCAGAACGAGGCAGGGCAAAGGGGCAAGGATGCCTTGCAATTTTGAGGCACCAGTGGTGCGCGTGTTGCAAACATCTTCATCCATGGTTTCACGGAAGACCCATACCAAGCCCCAGCCAAAGCAGGAATCACGATGCTAACGTGTCATTTGGTGGATGTGATTTTCCAGATGTTAATCAAATGAGGTCTGGGAACACAGAATTTTCTCTGGCTCTGTGGATTTCTAGAGTTGTAATGATTTCTAAGGGTTTCGAGTTCTTTTGAATCCCAGCAGCCCATAATGACGCACAGCAGAATTCATGTCCTGTGGAGTGGGGTGGCCACAGCCTTGGCCTTCAGACCAAGCTGGGGGTGAGGGCTAACTTTAGCCTTGTGGGCTCTGAGGCAGTAGTTTACTCACTGAGTCCCTCTATCTGGCCTTCTGTTTTCTCACAAAGCCTGTTCACTAAGTCTGCCGTGCAAATTAAATGGGACGGTACACGAAGCATCTATCAGGCCTGTAAAAGACACTCGACACAGGAGATCCACCGTCAGCTGTATGTTTCCAAGACTCTGGAGACTATTAATATTTAAGCCTAAAACGTAAATGCATAACAATACAAAAGGCTTTTACCTGCTTCTTTTCCTCTGCTTGGTGTTCCTTGGGGTACATATTCAGCAAAAAACTTAGGTTCAGCTCAATGCTCGACCCTAACACAGAATTACTTTCACTGCCATCAAGCTTTCTGATAATTTCTAGCAAATAAAGGCAGACAGAGGGGATAATTGTGAAAAGCAAGGTTAAAAGTTTTCAATGTTATTTCAACTAGTAAATTTAAATGCTTTTGGAGGGGCGCCTGGGTGGCGCAGTCGGTTAAGCGTCCGACTTCAGCCAGGTCACGATCTCGCGGTCCGTGAGTTTGAGCCCCGCGTCAGGCTCTGGGCTGATGGCTCAGAGCCTGGAGCCTGTTTCCGATTCTGTGTCTCCCTCTCTCTCTGCCCCTCGCCCGTTCATGCTCTGTCTCTCTCTGTCCCAAAAATAAATAAACGTTGAAAAAAAAAATTAAAAAAAAAAATAAATGCTTTTGGAAAAAAAAATTATTTTGGAAGTTAAAAACAATTTTTTCTTTTTTTTTTTTAACATTTATTTATTTTTGAGACAGAGAGAGACAGAGCATGAATGGGGGGAGGGCCAGAGAGAGAGGGAGACACAGAATCCGAAGCAGGCTCCAGGTTCCGAGCTGTCAGCATAGAGCCCGATGCGGGGCTCGAACTCACAGACCGTGAGATCGTGACCTGAGCGAAGTCGGACGCTCAACCGACTGAGCCACCCAGGCGCCCCCCAAAAAATTTTTCAATGTTATGTCAAAATGATTTTCCACCTGGGCACCTGGGTGCGTCAGTCAATTGAGCATCTGACTCTTGACTTCGGCTCGGGTCATGATCTCAGGGTCATGGGATCGAGCCCTGTGTCAGGGTTCACACTGAGCGTGGAGCCTGCTTAATATTCTCTCTCCTTCTGCCCCTCTCCCCTACTCACACATCTGCTCTCTCGAATATTAAAAAAAAATTTAAAAAAAAAAGATTTTCCATCAAAGTAGGATACAAGAGTATTCAAAAAACCTATTAAGAAAACAGTTTTGGGGTGTCTGGGTGGCTCAGTCGGTTGAGCATCTGACTTCAGTTCAGGTCATGATCTCATGGTTCATGGGTTTGAGCCCCGTGTTAGGCTCTGTGCTGACAACTCAGAGCCTGGTGCCTGCTTGGGATTCTGTGTCTCCTCTCTCTGTCTCTCCCCTGCTCACACTCTGTCTCTCTCTGTCTCTCAAAAATAAATAAATGTAAAAAAAATACCTAAAAAATTTTTTTTAACGTTTATTTATTTTTGAGACAGGGAGAGACAGCATGAAAGGGGGAGGGTCAGAGAGAGAGGGAGACACAGAATCCGAAGCAGGCTCCAGGCTCTGAGCTGTCGGCACAGAGCCCGACATGGGGCTCAAACTCACGGACCGTGAGATCCTGACCTGAGCCGAAGTCGGACGCTCAACCGACTGAGCCACCCAGGCGCCCCGAAACTTGTTTTCTAAAGTAGTGGGTGTATTTCGATGAGTGGATTCCGTAGATAATACAGGTTAATTTGTGTGCAGCTGACAGGAGAACACCCCTACCAGCACTGATGGAGGGTCCCTGGCACCAGCTCCTGAAGGAAGATTCTGAGGACCCATCCAGGTGACTTAAGAACTCAACTTCAAGATTTGGAAACTCCACTATGTGGTCGTTGGAAAATAGGCCATCATACACACGCCCATTCTTGAACGTTAATCGGCCCTGTAGACAGAGAGATTGACAGTTCAGGAAAACCACTGGTAATGTGTATCTGTATCTTTTTCAAAGGTTTGAAGTTTTTTTGTTTGTTTTTAAGATATGCCCTTAGCCCAGGGTACCTGGGTGGCCCAGTCAGCTTCTGACTTCGGCTCAGGTCATGATCTCGTGGTTTGTGGGTTCGAGCCCCGCGTCAGGCTCTGTGTTGACAGCTCAGAGCCTGGAGCCTGCTTTGGATTCTGTGTCTCCCTTTCTCTCTGCCCCTTCCCCTCTCACACTCTGTCTCTCTCTCTTTCAAAAATAAATAAGTATTAAAAAAATTTTTTTTTAATATGTACTTAGCCCACGTAGAATCAGGCTCCTAGAGTCTCACATCACTGTAAGTCCTCTCTCTTCCTTCTCTTCCTTTCCCATCTGTCCCAAGAGCTCTCTCCAATTACCCCTAGGTCACAGAAGGTATCTTATCAAACCATGCTAGTGACCAGCAGAGTGTCTATCACCAAAGAGGGGCTCTCTTGGGATCTGTCCAACCCAGGCCAATAGTCAGTCTGATTGAGAGGTAAGCACATGACCCAAGTCAGCTCAGCCAAATAAAGACATCTGTGGAAAGCTTCCTGGGAAAGAGTTTCTTCTCTCCTTCTACTTAGTGTGTATGTGGACATGAAGCCTGGAGCCACAGCAACTTATGGTCATGAGGGAGGGGCAGCATAAGAGTGAAGCTGACAGCATGGCAGGAGACATCTCCTGGGGAGAGGAAGAACACCCTCAACATCGCTGAGTTGCTGGAGCAAAGCAACCTTGCAACCCACTCCTTTTTTAAAAAAATATATTTATTTTGAAAGAGAGAGAGAGAGCGCGCATGCGCATGGGGGAGGGGGAGAGGGAGAGAGAGAATCCCAAGCAGGCTCCACACCATCAGCGCAGAGCCCGAGGTAGGGCTCAATGCCACGAACCGTGAGATCATGACCTGAGCCGAAACCAAGACTCGGACGCTTAACCAACTGAGCCCCCCAGGTGTCCCCAAATCCACTTATTCCTTAACGCTTACAGATTATTAAGCTAGGTATTCCATTACTTGTGACCAAAACCACCCTCACACACACACATGTACATAACATAAACTAAACAACTTCTAAATACACTTTTAGATATTGATGATATGTTGGAAATTATTCTAAAATTTGTATAGTTATCTTAATAAGACAGTAGGTTATCCTCTGCAAAAATGGATGATGCACTTTACCAGAGAATGACACTCCATGTACTGTAATTTAGTTGCTTTACAAACTCTTTAAAATGTACTCTTCACACATCTGCACTCACCATGCCGTGTTTTTTATTGGAGACCCATTGTCCCTCATACATGGCTCCGCTGGCATAGTAAAATTTTCCATGGCCATGACGATATCCATTTACAAACTCTCCTATGTATTCATTTCTCAAAGGGTACTGGGAGTTGGGGATTCTCTTTAGAAACCATGAATGTGTTCCAAAGCCATTCTGAAAAGAAAGCAAATTTCCATGAGGAATGCTCAAAATATTTTCTCTTTTTACCTGAATCCATTTAAAATTCAGATAATAGATCATAACAATAACTCGTTTGAAGGGACAAAGAGCCCCCTGCCTCTGTCACCCACCATCTATTTTTGGTCCCTTTGAATCTGACTCCTTTAGGTACCTCATATAAGTGGAATTATATAGTATTTGTCCTTTTGCAACTGGCTTATTTCACTTAGCATAATGTCTTCAAGTTTCATCCATCTTATAGTATGTGTCAGAATGTCCTTCTTTTAAAAAAATTTTTAATTTACATTTATTTCTTTTTGAGAGACAGAGTGCGAGCAGGGGAGGGGCAGAGAGAGAAGGAGACACATAATCCGAAGCAGGCTCCAGGCTCCGAGCTGTCAGCACAGAGCCCGACTTAGGGCTTGAACCCGCGAACCGCAAGATCATGACCTGAGCCGAAGTCGGACACTTAACCAACTGAACCACCCAGGCACCTCATAGAATGTCCTGCCTTTTAAAGACTAAATTATATTCCATTGTATGTTTATATCATCATCCATTTGTTTATTCATTCATCCCATTGTGTCTGTTGAAGACATTATGCTAAGTGATATAAGCCAGTGGCGGGGTGGGGGAAGGGGTTATGGGGAGTGAGTGTTTAATGGGGACAGAGTCTCAGTTTGGGAAGATGAAGAGTTCTGGAGATGGATGGAGGTGATTCACAACAGTGTGAATGTGCTTAATGCCCCTGAATTGGACACTTAAGAATGGTTAAGATGGTAAATTTTGTGTTATGTGTGTTTTACCACAATTAAAAACTAAAAACTAAAAAGAAACCTGGGGTAGCTTTATTCCTATCAGAAAAGACTTCAGAGGAATAGAAATTATCAGGGCTAAAGAGGGACATTACAACATGATAAAAAGGGTCAACTCACCAAGAAGACATAACAATCCTACACGTAACAACAGAGCCTTAAAATATATAAAACAAAAATTGATAGATTTGGAAGAAATAGACAAATCTACAATTACATTTGGACACTTCAACACTCTCCTCTGAGAAATGGGTAGAAAAAGTAGACAGAAGAGAGTAATGTGCTATAGAAGAAATGTGATAAAGAACAACACTACCAACCAACTTGATCTAATTGGCATCCACAGAATACTCCATTCAACAAAAGCAGAAATGCACATAACATTCACTGAAAAAGACCATATTCTGGGCCATAAAATAAACCACAACATATTTAAAAGAAATGTAATAAGTGTGTAAAGAACACAAAGTATGTTCTCTGATCACAATAGAATTAAACAAAAAATCAACAACAGAAAGAAATCTGGAAAAAGTCTCCAAACATTTGGAAATTAAGCAATATACATCAAAATAATTTATATTCAAAAGAGGAAGTCATAGGGAAATTAGAAAATATTTGAACTGAACAAAAGTTAAAAGCATATCAGAATTAATGGAATACAGATAAAGCAGTGTTAGGAGAAAAAATTTTAGTATTAAATGTTTGTATTAGAAAAGAAGAAATGTCTCAAATCAATAAAACTTCCATAGTACAACTGAAGGAGAAGAGCATAGTAAACCTGAAGCACGTAGAAGGAAAATAATAACAAAGAGCAGGTATCAAATTAAAAACTCAAAACCATCAAGAGAAAATAAATAGCACGAAAACTGGCTCTTACAGAATTTTCATGACATGGCTACATCTCTAGCCAGGACTGAAGAAAAAAGAGAAAACACAAAGTACTGATGCCAGAAGAAACAGGGAACATCACTATAGATCTCCTATAATATGGATTAAAAGAATAACAAGAGAACGTTATGCACAGCCATATGCTAATAAATTTCTATGAAATGGACAAATTCCTTCAATAACACAAACTTCCAAAATTTACTCAAGAAGAAACAGATAACCTGAATAGTGCATTATCTATTTTTTAAGTGTTATTTTATAGTTAATATACAGTTAACTTATTGTTAATCTTGTCACAAAGATAGCTCCAGTCCCAGAAATCTTCACTGGCATCTTCAGGTAAATGGCTCCAGAAGAGAGAATACCAATTCTACAAACTCAGGAAATTAAAGAGAACACTTTCCAACTCATTTTATGTGGCAACATTACCCTGGTTACTAAAATCTGGCAAAGATATTAAATGGAAAGAATACTAAAGATCAAAATCTCTCATGATCATAGACACAAAAATTTTCAACAAAGTATTAGGACATTGAATCTAGCAACATATAAAAAGGATAATATAATCATGGTCACGTCAGGTTGATATCACTGGAATACAAGGTTCATTCAACATCTGAAAATCAATCAATGTATTGAAAGTGATGGGATGGAGAAACATCTATCACGCAAATTGATGGCAAAAGAAAGCCAGAGTAACAATATTTACATCAGATAAAATAGACTTTAAAAAAAAGGCTGTGGGAGCACCTGGGTGGCTTAGTCGGTTAAGCATCTGACTTCTGCTCAGGTCATGATCTCACAGCTTGTGAGTCTGAGCCCCACATCAGGCTCTGTGCTGACAGCTTAGGACCTGGAGCTTTCTTTGGATTCTGTGTCTCCCTCTCTCTCTGCCCCTTCCCTGCTCTCTCTCTCTCAAAAATACAAACACTTAAAAAAATAAAAATAAAACAAAGACTGTAGCAAAAGACAAAGGAGGATACTGTATCATCATAAAGAGGACAATCCAACAAGATCTAACAATTGTAAATATTTATGCACCCAACATGAAAGCACCCAAATACATAAAACAGTTAATAACAAACATAAAGGAACTAATTGATAATAATACAATAATAGCAGGGGACTTTAACACCCCACTGACATCAATGGACAGATCATCTAAACAGAATCAACAAGGAAATAATGGCTTTGAATGACATGCTGAACCAGATGGACTTAACAGATACATTCAGAACATTCCATTGTAAAACAGTAGAATACTCATTTGAGTGCACATGGAACATTCTCCAGAATGGATCATGTATTAGCCCACAAAACAAACCTCAACAAATTCAAGAAGATTGAAATCATACCATGCATATGACCACAATGTTATGAAACTAGAAGTCAACCCCAAGAAAAAAAATTGGAAAGACCACAAATACATGGAAGTTAAAGAACATCCTACTGAAGCATGAATGGGTTAACCAGTAACTCAAAGAAGAAATTAAAAAGTACATGGAAATAAATGAAAATGAAAACACGATGGCTCAAAACCTTTGGGATGCAGCAAAAGCAGACCTAAGAAGAAAGTATACAGCAATATAGGCCTACCTCAAGAAGCCAGAAAAATCTCAAATAAACAACCTAAATTTGCACCTAAAGGAGCTAGAAAAAGAAAAACAGACAAAACTTAAAATCAGCAGAAGGAAGGAAATGATAAAGGTTAGAGCAAAAATAAATGATATAGAAACTAAAAATAATAATAGAACAGATCAATGAAACCAGGAGCTAGTTCTTTGAAAAACAATCAACAAAATTGATAAACTTCCAGCCAGAATTATCAAGAAAAAAAGAGAAAAGCCTCGAACAAATAAAATCACAAATGAGAGAGGAGAAATAACAACCAACACCTCAAAAATATGAACAATCCTAAGAGAATGTTATGAAAAACTATAGGCTAACGAAGTAGAACAACCTGGAAGAAATGGATACATTCCTAGAAACATATAAACTATCAAAACCAAAATAGGAGGAAATAGAACATTTGAATAGACCAATAACCAGCAAAGAAATTGACTCAGTAAAAAAAAAACACAAAAAAAACCTCCCAACAAACAGAAGTCCAGGACCAGATTCTACCAAACATTTAAAGAAGAGTTAATGCCTATTCTTCTCAAGCTATTCCAAAACATAGAAAAGGAAAACTTCCAAATTAATTCTATGAGGCCAGTATTACCCTAATACCAAAACCAGATAAAACATCCACTAACAAAGAGAACCAGAGGGGTGCCTGGGTGGCTCAGTCAGTTGCATCTGGCTCCTGATTTCGGCTCAGGTCATGATCCCAGGGTAGTGGGATTGAGCTCCGTACTGGGCTCCATTCTTAGCATGGAACCTGCTTAAGATTCATTCATTCATATTCATGTTCTCTCTCTGTCTCTCTTTCTCTCTCTCTCCCCCTCTGTCCATCCCCTCCCCCTCTAAAATAAAAAATAAATGTTAAAAAAAAAGAGAGAACCACAGGCCAGTATCCCTGAGGAACATGGATGCAAAAATTCTTAATAAAATACTAGCAAACCAAATCCAACAATACATTAAAAAAAATCATTCACCACAATCAAGTGGTGAATTTATTCCTGGGTTATGAGGGTGGTTCAATATTCACTAATCAATCAATGTGACACATCACATCGATAGGAGAAAGGACAAGAACCACATGATCATTTCAATAGAGGCAGAAAAGGCATTTGACAAAGTATAACATCCATTCAATGATAAACACCCTCAACAAAGGAGATTTAGAACATACCCCAATGTAATAAAGGCCACATATGAAAAACCCACAGCTAATACCATCCTCAATGGGGAAAAACTGAGAGCTTTTCCAATATGATCAGGAGCAAGACAAAAAATATCCATTCTCACCATTGTTATTCAACATAGTACTAGAAGTCCTACTCACAGCAATCAGACAACAAAAAGAAATAAAAGGCACCCGAATCAGCAAAGAAGCAGCCAAACTTTCACTATTTGCAGATGACATGATATTCAGTATAGAAAACCTGTAAGACTTCACCAAAATACTACTAGAACTGAACAACGAATCCAGTAAGGTTACAGGATACAAAAGCAACATACAGAAATCTGTTGGATTTCTATAGATCAATAAGGAAACAGCAGAAACAGAAACTAAGAAAACCCATTTACAATTGCACCCAAAAATAATAAGATACCTAGGAATGAAACTAATCAAAAAGGTGAAAGACCTATACTCTGAAAACTATAAAACACTGATGAAAGAAACTGAAGAAGACACAAAGAAATGAAAAGACACTCCATACTCATGGATTAGAAGAACAAATACTGCTAAAATGTCTATACTACCCACAGCAATCCACAGATTTAACACAAATTCTATCAAAGTATCATCAGCTTTTCTCACAGAATTAAAAAAAAAACAATCCTAAAATCTGTATGGAAACACAAAAGATCCCAAATAGCCAAAGCAATCTTGAAAAAGAAAAGCAAAACTGGAGGCATCATGATTCTGGACTTCAAGTTCTATTATAAAGCTGTAGTAATTAAAACAGTATGGTATCAGCACAAAAATAGACACATAAATCAATAGAACAGAATAGAAAATCCAGAAATAAAACCACAATTATATGGGCAATTAATCTTCGACAAAACAGGAAAGAGTATCCAATGGGAAAAAGACAGTCTCAGGGCACCTGGGTGGCTCAGTCAGTTGAGTGTCCAACTCTTGATTTCGGCTCAGGTATGATCTCACAGTTTCGTGAGTTTGAGCTCTGCATCGGGCTCTGTGCCAACCGTGCACAGAGCCTGCTTGGATGTCTCCCTGTCTTTCTGCCCCTCTCCTGCTCACATTCTGTCTCTCTCAAAAGAAATAAAAAAACTAAACAACAACAACAACAACAACAACAACAACAACAACAACAACAACACAGGGGCACCTGGGTGGCTCAGTTGGTTAAGCACCCGACTCGGTTTCAGCTCAGGTCATGATCTCACAGTTTCCTGAGTCTGAGTCCCATATTGGGCTCTGCCCTGGCAGCATGGAGCCTGCTTGACATACTCTCATTCTCTCTCTCATTCTCTCTTTCTCTCTCTCTCCCCCCTTCCCCACTTGTGCTGTCTCAAAAAATAAACTTAAAAAAATAACTATTTTTAAAGAAAAGACTGTCTTTTCAACATATGCTAATGGGAAAACTGGAGAGGCACATACGAAAGAATGAAACTGGACTGCTTTCTTACACTATATAGAGAAAAAAAATTCAAAATGGACTAAGGACCTAAACGTGAGACCTGAAACCATAAAAATCCTAGAAAAGAGCATATGCAGCAATTTCTCTGACATCGGCTGTAGCAGTTTTTTTCTAGATCTGTCTCCTGAAGCAAGAGAAACAAAAGCAAAAATAAACTATTGGGACCTCATCAAGACAAAAAGCTTCTGCACAGTGAAGGAAACAATCAACAAAACCAAAACGCAACCAACAGAATGGGAGAAGATGTCTGCAAATAACATATCCAATAAAGGGCTAGAATCCAAAATATATACAGAACTCAGAAATCTCAACACCCAAAAAACAATCCAATTAAAAAATGGGCAAAAGACACGAACAGACATTTCTCCAAAGAAGATATACAGATGGCCAAGAGACACGTGAAAAGATACTCGTGACCACTCATCGTCAGGGAAATGCAAATCAAAAGTATGATGAGGTATCACCTCACACCTGTCAGAATGGCTAAAATCGACACCACAAGAAACAACAGGTGTTGGTGAGGATGTGGAGAAAAGGGAACCCTCTTGCACTGTTGGTGGGAATGCAAACTGGTGCAGGCACTGTGGAGAACAGTATGGAGGTTCCTCAAAACACTGAAAATAGAACTATCTTAGAATCCAGCAATCACACTACTATTTACCCAAAGAATAGAAAAACACTAATTGAGAGATACATGCACCCCCATGTTTATAGCGGCATTCTTTTCTTTTTTTTTTTTTAAACTTTTTTTTTCAACGTTTATTTATTTTTGGGACAGAGAGAGACAGAGCATGAATGGGCGAGGGGCAGAGAGAGAGGGAGACACAGATTCGGAAACAGGCTCCAGGCTCTGAGCCATCTGCCCAGAGCCCGACGTGGGGCTCGAACTCACGGACCGCGAGATCGTGACCTGGCTGAAGTCGGACACTTAACCGACTGCGCCACCCAGGCGCCCCTATAGCAGCATTATTTTCAACAGCCCAGATATGGAAGGAGCTGTGTCCACTGACTGATGAATGGGTAAAGAAGATGTGGTACATGCACACACACACACACACACACACACACACACGCATGATGGAATATTACTCAGCCATCGAAAAGATTATGTGGCCATTTGCAATGACATGGATGGAGCTAGAGACGCTAATGCTAAACAAAATGAATCAGAGAAAGACAAATACAAGCAAAGTTAAGAAGCAAAACAAGAAAAGGGAAAAAAAAACGGAGAGAGAGCCAGAGAGAGTCGAGGCAGGAAACAGATTCTTAACTACAGAGAACAAAGTGATGGTTGCCAGAGGGGAGGTGGGCAGGAGGGTGGAAGAAACAGGTGCTGGGATGAAGGCACTTGTCATGATGAGCACAGGGTGATGTATACAACTGTTGAATCACTAAATTGCACACCTGAAACTAATACAATACTGTACGTTAACTGGAATTAAAATTAAAAACTTAATTTTAGTTTAATAGTAAAATAATTTTTTTAAGAAAATAAATCAATGTAATTCAACATGATCAACAGACTAGAGAAGAAAAACCACACAGATCCTCCCACTGGAGGCAGAAAAGCACTGGACAAACTTCACATCCATTCATGATAAAAACTGTAAGCAAATGAAGAATTAGAGCACTTCCTCCTAATAAATGATGGCTCTTCCTGATAAAGAGCATCCCTGAAAAACCCACAGCAAACATCGCCCATGATGAAAGACTGAATGCTTTCCCACTAGGCTCAGGCCCAATGCGAGGCTGTCTGCCCCTGCACCCGTGCTCGGGACTGTCTATATTTTTCAACATTTTTTTTTGTTTTTGTTTTTTGTTTTTTTTTATTTTATTTTATTTTTGGGACAGAGAGAGACAGAGCATGAATGGGCGAGGGGCAGAGAGAGAGGGAGACACAGAATCGGAAACAGGCTCCAGGCTCTGAGCCATCAGCCCAGAGCCCGACGCGGGGCTCGAACTCACGGACCGCGAGATCGTGACCTGGCTGAAGTCGGACGCTTAACCGACTGCGCCACCCAGGCGCCCCCGGGATTGTCTATATTAAAAAATCCCAAAGAACCTACAAAATACTGACCAGAACTATTATGTGAGTTCAGCAAGGCCCCTAATTACCATATTAATATGCAGATATTATCAGAAAACCCAAGCTTGTATAAACCATATAAAACTAACTGTATGAAGCCTTTCTTTTCTGTGTGGGAAATACACAGCTCCTAAGGCATAGATAATAGTCTTGGTCTACACACGAGCCATGGGAATTGAGATCTGCTTGCTTGGGGGCGCCTAGGTGGATCAGTAGGTGCAGGGTCTGACTCTTGGTTTTGGCTCAGGTCATGATCTCATGGCTTGTGGGGCCGAGCCCACAAATTGCACTGACCATGTGGAGGCTGCTTGGGGTTCTCTCTCTGCCTCTCTTTCTCTGCTCCCCCCCGCGACTCACACACTCTTTCCCTCTCAAAATAAATATTAAAAAAAAAAAAAAACCATTTTGTTGCTCACCCGTGTGTAAGACCTTTAGAGAAACCTAAAAAATGAAATGGCACTAAAAAAAGATGGTCTGGACCAGCAAATCACACTTTGGGTTTCTAAATTTAGCAGTGCTGAAGTTTCAGGTGACCGGATGCTATACCAAGTGACGCGTGTGCAGGGCATCAGCAGCGTCCCCGTCTGGGTGCATGCGGGTCACACCCACGGGCGCCGTACCTGGACGCCCTTCTCCCACTGCCCCGTGTACTCTTCGTTGGTCGTCAGCCACCTCATCCTGCCTTCCCCGTGACTCATGTTGTCCTGCCACTGCCCTTCATATATGTTTCCAGACTTGTAACTGGGACCGAGAAAAATGAAAAACAATCGGTTATTTTATGTACAACACTTATCTTTAGGAAGACTTTCTTTTACATTTCTTAAAATGTTTACCTATTTTTCTGAAACAGAAAGAGACAGAGCGCGAGCAGGGGAGGGGCAGAGAGAGAGGGAGACACAGAATCCGAGGCAGGCTCCAGGCTCCGAGCTGTCAGCACAGGGCCCGACGTCGGGCTCAAATTCATGAACCTCGAGATCATGACCTGAGCCGACGTCTGAAGCTAAACCAACTGAGTCACCCAGGCGCCCCTAAGAAGACTGTCCTTTAAACTTTTTCTCTAAACACCTTTGAAGAAATCCAACCCTTGTGCCCATACAGTCTCCTCAAATGGACAGGCGGTAAAAATCATCATCTTAGGGATAAGACAACCCACTTTATTAAATCCTCTGATCATTTAATTAAGGTGATAAGGAGGATAAGAGCAGGGATTTTAAATCTTTTAAAAACAACTCCATATAGTAGTATGATTAGTTAACATTTTTGCTCCCTTTTTGTTAAAAAATGTTTAACATTTATTTTTGAGAGACAGAGAAACAGAGTGCAAATAGGAGAGGGGCAGAGGCAGAGAGAGAGAGAGAGAGAGAGAGAGAGAGAGAGAGAGAATCCAAAGCAGGCTCCTGGCTCTGAGCTGTCAGCACAGAGCCTAATGTGGGGCTTGAACCCACGAACCATGAGATCATGACCTGAGATGAAGTCAGATGCTTAACTGACTGAGCCACCCATGCACCCCTCACCCCCAAATATTTCTTTTTTATTAAAATTTTTTTTTCAACGTTTTTTATTTATTTTTTGGGACAGAGAGAGACAGAGCATGAACGGGGGAGGGGCAGAGAGAGAGGGAGACACAGAATCCGAAACAGGCTCCAGGCTCCGAGCCATCAGCCCAGAGCCCGACGCGGGGCTCGAACTCACGGAGCGCGAGATCGTGACCTGGCTGAAGTCGGACGCTTAACCGACTGCGCCACCCAGGCGCCCCCACCCCCAAATATTTCAATCCTTAACATATATGACTCCATCAGCTCGATCTAAAATCAAGCAAACATGTCAAGAGTCTTCTGAAAACATACGAGATATCCATGAACGAGAGAACAAAGTTTCTACGTGTGATAAAGTACGGTTGTATCATTAGATCTCATTTAATATAACGTTCCTTTAAATTCTCTGTAGAATATTTTCATCACTATGGAGATTCCATTGGGGTGAATTGAAATATTCCGCCCTTATATAGAAAATGTGTTCTCGGGGCGCCTGGGTGGCGCAGTCGGTTAAGCGTCCGACTTCAGCTCAGGTCACGATCTCGCGGTCCGTGAGTTTGAGCCCCGCGTCGGGCTCTGGGCTGATGGCTCAGAGCCTGGAGCCTGTTTCCGATTCTGTGTCTCCCTCTCTCTCTGCCCCTCCCCCGTTCATGCTCTGTCTCTCTCTGTCCCCAAAAATAAATAAACGTTGAAAAAAAAAATTAAAAAAAAAAGAAAATGTGTTCTCCAAAATTTCTGCACCTTATCTTTTTTTTTTCAAAGTTTATTTATTTTGAGAAAGAGAAGAGAGAGAACAAGCAGGGAGGGGAAGAGAGAGGGAGAGAGAATCCCAAGCAGGCTCTGTGCTGTCGGCATGGAGTCCAATACGAGGCTCGAACCCACGAACCTTGAGATCATGACCTGAGCCAAAATCAAGAGTCGGACGCTTAATCAACTGAGCCACCCAGGTGCCCCTCTGCACCTTATCTTTAAGCACCTAAGTGAAAATCATTTGGGCCCCCACACCCTTTCCCCCCCACACCCCGAGAGCGGCCGTGGTAATACCTACCACCTTATCCCCCAGCCGTTTTTGATGTTGTATACCCAGTCCCCCTCGTACCAAGAGGTACCTTCTTGGTTGTAATAAATAGAGCCCTAAAACAAATAATATCATTTTAACAAAGCAAGGCATACAGCAAACGTTTATTAAAGGCAAAGATAAATTAAAGGAGTCCAAACTATGTGGAAGTCAATGTCCTATGAAGGCAAGACATTTAATCCATGATATGTTTCTGTCTTGTAATCGAGAAAATGGAGAAGTATCCACCAAGTAAGAAAGAGATGCCACCAATCAATGACTCCTTAATAGTGAGGCATCATATTAGGGCTAATCATTATATTATATATATTATATTCGATAACTGTGAGTCAAGTAAGTACCTGAATAATCCCGTTGTGTTGTTACCTAAACCGAGTAGTAGCACCTTCTGTGTAACTGAAGGCCAGTCCCTTTTATGTCCCTAAACCACTTTCGTTTTACCCATTTGTCACCTTATTTGACTTCCTCCGAGTTTAACATTTATTTATTTTTTTTTCTAAATTTTTTTTTTCAACGTTTGTTTATTTTTGGGACAGAGAGAGACAGAGCATGAACGGGGGAGGGGCAGAGAGAGAGGGAGACACAGAATCGAAACAGGCTCCAGGCTCTGAGCCATCAGCCCAGAGCCCGACGCCGGGCTCGAACTCACGGACCGCGAGATCATGACCTGGCTGAAGTCGGACGCTCAACCGACTGCGCCACCCAGGCGCCCCTAACATTTATTTATTTTTGAGAGACAGAGAGAGACAGAGCAGGAGCAGGGGAGGGGCAGAGAGAGAGGGAGACACAGAATCCAAAACAGGCTCCAGGCTTTGATCCGTCAGCAGAGAGCCCAACGCGGGGCTCAAACTCACGAACCATGAGATCGTGACCTGAGCCAAAGTCAGACGCTTAACCAGCTGAGCCACCCAGGCACCCCAAGACTGCCTCCAAGTTTAAGTGAACGTGGTGTAACCTTTCTTCAGTGACTCCTCTGAGGAATAGTACTAGTCACCATGCATGTATGAGGACCTTTACTGAATGGCCTCAGGTTGCTTCTTTATTCGGTGGTTTATTTCTTTGTGTGTGTGTGTGTGTGTGTGTGATTTTTCTATCTTCTTCTCCACTACCAAGCTGGCTTGTTCCTTCATGCAGCCATCCAGGGGCCGTTGTCTAGAAGCTGCCACCACCCCCAGTCTGAATTGATCCACTAAGAGCTGAACAAGGGAAGGGAAAGGAAGGGAAGCCAATGGACAGAATTGTCTATATTCGAGTCGAATGATGATTATAATGGTAGACTGTTTCTTTTCTTATAACATTTTATGAAAACACTGCTGCGGTATTTTATCATCCGATACAAAAGCAAATAGTGCCAGAAACAGCAACCTTGCTTAAAAGTATCACCTGTGGTAGTGGTGAGACTGTAAATTGGGCCAGATGCTGTGGAAAACAGTTGGGAGGTTCCTCAAAGCGTTAAACATTGAGTTACCATATTCCACTCCTAGGTTTATACGCCAGAGAACTGAAGACAAGGACCCAAATAATCCTTACACATGCGTTCATAGTGGTGCTATTCACAGAAGCCAAAAGATGGAAAGAGCCCAAGTGCCCATCAATGGATGAACAGATAAACAAAATGTGGTCCATCCATATGGTGGACTATTAGCCACAAAAAAGAATTAAGTACCTACAACATGGATGGGTCTCAAAAACGTGATGCTGAATAAAAAAAGCCAGATCCAAAAGGCCACATAACATAGGGTTCCATTCACATGAAACATCCAGAGTAGGTAAACCCATAGAGACAGGAAGCAGAATGGTGGCCACCGGGGGGTCCGGGTGGGAAATAACTGCCTGGTGGGTACAGGGCTGTACTTTGGAGGGTCGATGAAAATGTTCTGGGACTAGACAGAGGTGGTAGTCTCACAGCACTGAGAATGCACTGAATGCCGCTGAATTGCAGACTGTGAAATGGTGAGTTTCGTGTGATGTGGATTTCACGTCAATAAACAAGAAGGGACCATAGTTGTAGGACAGCCCCCTACCTCCCACACCTCTATTTGTTCATCCTATCTATGGACGGGAGTCAAGTGGCCGCCTCACCCACCTTCCCGTGTCTCTTGCCGTGACACCATTGGCCGATGTAGGACACGGGGTGCGTGCCACATACGAACATACCAAATCCGTGCCTCATGCCGTGTAGCACTTCTCCTTCATAGGTGCTGCCATCCGGCCACGTGTACACGCCATGCTTCATGGGCATGTTCTTCACAAACTCCCCCTAGGGCAAAACGACCCTGAGAGTGAGAGAAAGAAGGCAGTAGAGAGACCCCTCTCCTATGGGCAGACTGAGATGCCTCCTTGACTACTGGATACTATTCCTGTCTCTCCTCCACGGAAACAGTGGAGTATCCGCCCCCCTCCCCCAGCCTCCACCCTCCTCCCTCCTTCTCTACACACTCCATCCTCCCTCACCTCCCCTCTCCTGGGCAGAAGCACCAGCAGGATAAAATAGCTGAGTGCAGAGAAGCCTCCAAGAAGCAAACAGGTGACGTGGAACAGTGGTGGTTTGCGATCCCGGCCTCGGGAACTTTAGAGTCTTGGAACCCACCTCGAAGGAGGCCCAACGCCCTGGGATCCTGTGTTCTCTCCAGGGGACTCTGGTGATTAGCCCGGCTTAGTGATCAACTCACGGAAACCCTTCTTTCTGCCTGTGGTCCATCAAAATATTCTGTAGACACACCAGCCAACCGCCCGCCCTGTGGGTGACTTCCAGAGAATCCGCTTTGCTTGGGGCCAGGACGTCAGCTGAGTGGGCAGCGCGCAGTTCCATGCACCACAGCCCTGAGCCACTGGATTCTCTCTCAGGAAGGAGACCTGGCTGGAGGCGGCCAGCCAAGGGAGAAAAGAGGACAGGGCAGCCTGGCCTGATCCCATGAGGCCAGCTGACCTCCCTGAAGATACTTCTGTGACAGCCCAAATCCCACCCATAAACCCTCCTGTCTAGGCTGGCGTGGGAGGGTCTGTGCCTCCTAGGAGTCCCGCCTTCGAACTTCCAGAGACCATAAACCAAGGGCCACAGGCTAGAAGCCAGGGTGTTGCAGGGGAAGAATGTCCCTGGAAAGGCTGGCCCCAAACCACCAGATCTTCAGGGGCCCCTCCACCTCTGTGGCTTGTCTCCTGCTCTCAGGCCCAGTGAACTGCCCACCTGGCCGGCACTTGTCTCTGCTTCCCTCACCTGGCTGCCATTTGAATATGAGCACATGTGCATAGGTTTTAAAGGTCGCCACTACCACTTATAAACCCCATCACTAGCAACCCTGCAATTGCGAGTTTGAGAACAGCCTTCTAGCAATCGATTTAAAAAATACATAGTCCCTTTAAACCGGCAAGATGGGTTAAGTGAAACCCACATCATAGAATAAAAGCAGCCAGTAACACTAGGTGGATCTGGACGAACGGCTATGGTGTGATCTCCAAAAACTAAAGGGACAGAAGAGAGTGTACAATAAACTCTACTTGTGTTTGTGAAGAGTAAGACAGGCCAAATAAATGCACGGGTGCTGTGCCTGCCCAGGAGACATCTAGAGTGTAAGGATGAACGCAGTACTGACTGCCAGAGGGTCCCGTGCAGTTAACAAGTTACTTTTCACCTGTATTCTTTGGTTCTGGGGTCTTTTTTTTAAGTTTATTTTTTTATTTTGAGAGAGAGAGAGTAGGGGAGGGGCAGAGAGAGAGGGAGAGACAGAATCTCAAGGAGGCTCTGAGCTGTCAGCGCAGAGCCCAACTCAGGGCTCAATCTCACGAACCGCGAGATCGTGACCTGAGCTGAAATCAAGAGTCAGATGCTTAAGCTACTGAGTCGCCCAGGCGCCTGGGTTCTGTGGACTTTTTTAGACCCGTGAGCTGAATTACTCTTGTGACAGTAGTAGGTTTGATTGTGGGAAGCTGACCGTTACATTGTGTTAATTACAGTGTAAAACTATAACACAGGACATGCTTTACCTCATATTTCAGTCCATCGGCCCAAACATAAGTCCCTTGTCCGTGCATAAGTCCTTCTGAAAACATACCCTTTAAAACAGAACAACAACAAACCATTAGGACCATTGATTCTACGTAACAGCTGGTTTTAGTTCTCAGAATGGAGCCTTATCCCACTTTCTTTTTTTTAAATTTTTTAAACTGTTTATTCATCTTTGAGGGGGGAGGGTCACTAAGAGAGGGAGACACAGAATCCGAATCAGGCTCCAGGCCCCGAGCTGTCAGCACAGAGCCTGATGTGGGGCTCAAACTCATGAACCGTGAGATCACAGCCTGAGCCGAAGTCGGACGTTTAACCGACTGAGCCACCCAGGCGCCCCATCCCACTTCCATCTGCATGAATACGCTTATCCAAATTCCCCAAAACCTACACCAAGCAGTCCTGTGTGACACTTAAACGTGAGTTTTAAGCTCGGTCTGTGTCTTCCTCTCCTAATTAAGCTAGGTAAAAATTCCACAGTCTAAAAGAATTCATATGCTTTTGGTTTTGCATTTCAAAGTTTAAGGATTTTTTAAAAATTATTTAAACTAGGTAGACCTGGTTAAAACCGTTATCTGGATGTTAGAAAGTACCCCATTTGTAAATTTCACGCTCGTCTGTTTTCCACTTACTGGGACTTATCCGTATAGGTGCGCCCGTGCCCCCTGAATATTCCTCTATGTAGACAATATACAGTTGTCAGGAGGGTCCACTTATATTGAGTGTCTGTTGTTAACACATAGGAACTAGTCACCGAAAACTTTGCACGCCTGAATGCCTAAATGTAATCAGGGAAAACGAGGCTGAAAAGTACTCCCAGTTTGGGCCACCTGGGGGGCTCAGTCATTAAGCGTCTGACTCTAGATCTCAGCTCAGGTCATGATCTCACGGATTGTGGGATCGAGTCCCACGTCTGGCTCTGTGCTGATAGCACGGAACCTGCTTGGGATTCTCTCTCTCTGCCCCTCCCCAGCTTGTGCATACTCTCTCTCTCTGTGTCTCTCAAAATAAGTATATAATAAACTCAGAAAAAAAAAGAGTACTCCTAGTTGTTCCTTAGAATCACCTTGTTAGAGTCAGTGGGCGAAGGAGGAATATGTAACAGTGCCCTAATTCAGTGGTTCTGACTCTTGAATGCTTCAGAAATCATCTGGGGATTGCTGGGCCCACCCTGAAGATTCTAATTCATCAGCAGGTCTGGGCTGTTGCCCAAGAATGAGCATTTTGAAAAAAAAAATACCCAGGAAATGCTGCTGGTCCCCAGGACCGCACTCAGGAACCACGGCCCTAACTCACTAGCAAGAAGACACATTTTGTTAGGCGTCCAGGTTAGCCTGGGCTCACAGGAGACTGGCTGGCATTGAGGAAAACCACGGGGCAACCAGGGGCTTTCCAGCCGCAGGCCGGCTGTTGTTTGTATTATGGAATCAATTACGGTCGCAACAACTGGTGCTTTAATTAACAAACTACACTAGAAAAGATCATGCTGTGTCTACATGGTAAGGGCAAATGTTCCATGAAATGTTTGGCTTTATTGTCTATCTTTAGGGGATTGTGATCTAAACATGTGACATACCCACGGTCTGACTCGGGGCCTGGGGCCACAGTAGAGTCATTCTGCTGGGTCTGCTGCTCTCGCAATTTAAAGGAGAGCCGAATGATGATTATTTAAAACAAATTTTTTTTTAACATTTATTCACTTTTGAGAGAGAGAGACAGACAGAGACAGAGCACAAGTGGGAGAGGGGCAGAGAGAGAGGGAGACACAGAATCCGAAGCAGCCTCCAGGCTCCAAGCTGTCAGCACAGAGCCTGACTCAGGGCTTGAACTCATGAACCGGGAGATCATGACCTGAGCCAAAGTCAGATGCTTAACTGACTGAGCCACCCAGGCGCCCCAACAGATGATTATTTTTAATCAAAATAATTTGAGTCTGAGGAAAATACGGAAAGTTTACCCAGCAAGCAGCAGGCAGTGGTGGGGAGGAGATCTCAGAAATGGAGGGGTATTTGCCCCCACATCAACAGTTAAGGCAAGGCCACTGGGCCAGGCTGGAGCTACCGGGTCACTGTGGACCGAAGGCCACCGGGGACAAGACCCTCTGGGGTAATAGGAGCCGATACTGTGTCCTCAGCAGCCTGGGAGAGGTCGATCTTGTGTAATCGAGAACTGGGTGTCACTGGTTGATTTTTTAATTTTTTTTTATTTTAGACTGAGCACCAGGCAGGGGAGAGAGGCAGGCAGGGGGTGGGGGGAGAGAGAGGATCTCAAGCAGCCTCCACACTCGGTCCTATTCACACAGCAGTGCACTTAGCGCCCCGACTGGTGAAAGGAGACTGATCAGCATGAACGCAACAGCTGATTCCAAAACTGGCCGAGGCCAGACGGGACGGCCACATTCATGACTATTATTCACCCACGCTAATGGCGTTTTTAGGAGTTTACATGACGCAGGAATAAGAACATGTTGTATGTTTAGTGGGGGGAAAAAAAAATCAGGGGACTGAAACCCCTGCTTTCTGACCCCAACCACAAAAATTTGTTCTTATTGAAAACACACGTTTCTACCCCAATGTTTATATAGCAGCACTTTCAACAACAGCCAAATTATGGAAAGAGCCTAAATGTCCATCGACTGACGAATGGATAAGGAAGATGTGGTTTATAGATACAATGGAATACTACTTGGCAACGAGAAAGAACGAAATCATGCCATTTGCAGCAACCTGGATGGAACTGGAAGGTATCATGCTGAGCAAAAATAAGTCAGAGAAGGACAGATACCTTATGTGTTCACTCATAT